TGTGTGTTTGTGTGTATGGTGTCCTGCGATGTACTGGTGTCTCATCCAGGGTGTATTCCCGCCTCATTCCCAGTGTTCCCAGGAGAGGCTCCGGATCCACCGCAATCCTGACCAGGATAAAGCGGTTACTGAATGTGAGAGTAAAACCCCTCCTTAAAAAGGACATCAACAGCAAATCTGGATGCCACTGCAACAATTTGACAAATGTATTTTTTCTTTTATTGGACACATGCTAACATAATTAAATTTTTAAAGACGTGATAATTGGTTGTAATTAAAATGGTCTGATTGTGTAAATCAAAACCAGATTGTAAGGCTTTGCCAACAATCCATCTGAACAACTGTATGTACATATAAACTATTGGGATTGGCTGGTGAGTATGACCATCTGAAATTACATTCTCATTCAATTAAACTCCTGAGAAATTCCTTTAAATTAAACTCCTGTTTTGTGGTGAAATATAACACAATCCGAGGGCTAAAAGCCCGTCTCCATTTCATTTTCACACACATAGTCTGCAGAATGGTGGGTGAGAAGCAATCGAGATTATACAGACAAACACAGATATATGGAAATAAAAGGAAACATATATTAATGCATTCATTTCCCTTCACATTTGAAATTCTTAGGTCTGCAGGGAGAAAAGAAAAAATATGGTCATGTGAAGAGCATAGGTTGCAGACACATTCAGTACTTTATATTCTTACTGACACCAGAAATATTTTTTGTTAGTGAAAGTCACTGGTTAGAGCTTAAGAAGACAAATTGCTGTCCTTTGCGATAGTGGGTTTGGATGCAGCCTCAGATTCCTGCAGTGTTTGTGTGGCAGCTAATCCGGGTTGGACGTTTTTCTGATTTATTGCTAAAGGTTTAGATGTAATGGTGATGCAATGGCCTTTGACTTACCACCGACCTGGAAAGGCTATGGTTTTATTATTTGGCTGATACAAGCTGACAGAATGCTGACTGGCAGTTTTCTGCCATACTGAGAGTTCAGGAAGATTTAAGAGGGTATTACGCATTTCCCAGGATTTTGCAGCATCTGGCACAGTCCTTGATAATAGAAGATAAACGTCTAAGAGTAAAAGTTTGTTGCTTGCATGATCATTCTCTGCCATGTGCTCGGTGCGCTTCTGGTGGTGGTTTTTAATGAGAACAATTTTAACCTCCGGAATGACTCCTGTTCCTGTACAGACCTAAAACAGCACTCAAACTATAATAAGAAAAATCTCCATAGGATGAGGCAGAGTTGCAGCAGTAAAATGCCTCATAGCAAATGCAGGCTGAAGTAAATAGTAAATTGAGGTCTTTTCTGTCAGTCCGTGAATGTTCTCACAATTTGCTAGAATATTCTGTACAGAACCGTTACACCAAAAATAGGTTGCACCACACGGACAGACATCAGAACCCAAAATAGTTCCAGTCTAAGTAGATAGTTCCACATGCAGTGAACGTTCAACCAGCCAAGCTTGGACAGTCACTACGTTTACATACACAATATTTAATATTCCAATATTAATCAGAATTTGGCAATATTCAAATTAGTATTGAGTAATGTAAATGCCGCAATCTGATTACCCAGTTCAGATTAAGACAATATTCTGATTCCCCAAATCCCAATTCCCACCCCTGGAATATGCCTGTTTTAATCAGAAATTTGTTGCATGTAAACACGTTATTCAGAAAATCCACTGAAAGGAGATATATGCACATGCTCAGTCCGCAAGGAATTGTGGGTGCTAACAGATGCTTAGCTTAACAGATGCTTACCCGACGCTTTCCATTTCGAGGCGGTGTTGGCGGGCATTTTTGATGGTGAGAAGTGTTAGAGTCCTAATTAAATTAGTGTGAAAAAAGTAGTAATAAAACTAATAACTGAGCATACTCTATAACCAACGGCAGCGTCTTGAATCTCCCGGGAAATAAAAGCGGGAAAGGAAAAGCGCATGTGTAGATGGTCATACTTACAACAACCATGTATACAGGAATATTCCGATGCCTGTACACATATAAACATTGTATTCGGAATATGGCTGCAACCCGAATATAGAAATGCATGTAAACGTAGCAAGCGTCAAATATCTTGTTCCACAAGGGCTTATCTTTTGACTTGCATTAATTAGAATAGTAAATTTACCTCCTTGACTAGAAATGACAAAACAGAACTTCTTGTTCAGCACAAAATAAAAAGGAGAACAACTAAGTCTGTATTTGGCTTTAATTCAGTTTTGCAGAAAACCGGTTCACATACGTCAAAAGTATTCGCCTGTTATCAATTAAAGCTAACCTGAATGTGACTTAAAATGAATTAGGGCTAATTTAATATCACATCCTGTATATTTCCCTATTCAAATAGTAAACATGGCCACTTGGATTTGTTAACAGGACACTTCACGGCCTTTGGTGATGAACATTTCTGAGTATACTCTGAATCTTGAGCGCTGTTAAATGGCCAATTTCCAAATGAACCAGCAGCCACATGAGTCACACGAACAGCGCTCTGGGACTGAATGCCTTCTTTACTGCAAGCAATCTCAACAACTCGATGGGGGGTGGGGAGCCATTTTCCCAGTCTGAGTGACACTTCCGGTAAGAGGAGTCAATTATGCTGTCCAAACCAATTCCCTAAAGTTTCAATCTAATCCTCTTGGCTCTGGGTTTTATGAACTATCGGGACATATCCTGCCCTGAAAAATGGGGTGCCTACGTTGATTCCGAGATGCAACACTCGTCTTCATCCTGACTGGCAGGATAGTGCTGATAGTGCTGGGGCGGGTGGTGAGTTTATTAGTGTGTGTGTGTGTGTGTGTGTGTGTGAGAGAGAGAGAGAGAGAGAGAGAGAGAGAGACAGAGAGAGACAGACAGACAGACAGACAGACTGCGCATTAGTAAAGGCAGAAATTTGGTTCATCATCTACCATGAATCTGAATCCCTCTCTCTACAGCTCTGACAATAAAGCCACAGTTTTCTCCCCAGAGCACAGCCTTCCATTCTCCATTTATTAAGTGCTTATTACCATTTATTAACACTTACAACATCTGTGAACTCTCTAATATTGGTGCAAACCAATGAAATGAAGGTAATACAGAGAAAAACATCCAGGTTAATTTTTTTGCTCTCTCTCTCTCTCTCGCTCTCTCTTTTTTTCTCTTCGTTGCTGACTGTGAGTAAAGACAGAGACTGCAGTGTGTGTGTGTGTGTGTGTGTGTGTGTGTAGCTCGTGCCATCCCAGCGGGTCCAACTCTTCTGACTGCCAGCCTCGCACCTCGCACCGCCGGAGCCCTGAGTCTCTTCCTCGGCAACACTAACCACATTCACATACAAAACACATTACATCCATGTGCGTCTTCTCATGATGCACAGCCAAACATATAAACATCCCAGCGGGAACAACCGGCATTCTTTGTTCCCCAAAGTGTCATGTTGGCTCGGCAGTGAATTGCTGGATTCACATCGCCATCTGATTTGTAGGAATGCAGTAAATGAGCCATCACTTCTGCGGCGATACTGCGCTTTCCCCACGCTCTGATTCTGCATGTCAACCTCCTTCCGCCCACGACACCATCCACTTACCATCTCAAACCCTCAACCCAGCACATCCACCATCCAGTATACATAGGAGACCATTTTTACGCACAGGAGTCGGATCCGCTCGCCCACGCTGCATCACCTCCGCACAGGCTGCACTTCAAACTTTGTCACACACACACACACACACACACACACACACATTTAAGCTTACCGTCAGCTTTCTGCCCCAAACCGGTCCTCACTTGCTGGAAGACTGGGTGACAGAGCTGGAGTGCATCACGGCAGACTGTTACTCGTGTAACTGGAGAACGAAAGACAAAAAATCACCCATCCAAAGGGAAAGCCGAGCTTCTGCCCGAGTTCATTCCAACGTAAAAGCCGAAGAATCACCTGGTTTTTTTAAACGTCTCGGCGTTTAGAGAAGCCTGAGACTTTATGACAGACACAGAGACAGTCAAGTAAGACTGGATGGTGGTTGTATAACGGCAGACTCTTGGCGACGCGCTCTCTCCCAGCTCTCCGCCGGTTAGTTTGGTAAAGGCGAGCTTGTTTGTCCCGGGTGAAGAAGGAACGAAAGATGTGACACGGGAGAAATGCGGTATCCGGAGGCGAAGAGCTCGTGCCGGGTTTTTTCTTTTTCTTTTTTTTTGTCCCTGCGAGCTGCGACGCGTGCCGTGCGCGCACACTGCTGCCGCTCTGATGGAGCTACAGATGGAGCGCTCCCTCTCTCTCTCTCTCTCCCTCTCCCTCTCTCTCTCTCTCTCTCTCCCTCTCTCTCTCTCTCTCTCTCTCTTTCATTGGTCCTGAAGTAAGCGACGCACACTCTCTAAAGCGCACTCACTGGTGTGGGGAAACATCACTAACCCAACAGACCTGCTTCAAATCATCACCCATCTGCACTTATCTGCATTTCAGCTACTTTACAAAGCTATATGCTCCATCAATACTGGGGTCTGATTGAGCAAATAATATGTAGCAGCAAACACGATCAGTGCAAGAGTCAAGAAGATCTTGACATAAGAGAATGTTGGTTTCCTGGCATTTGGCCCGATTTCATTCTCAACCAGACTCAGACACAAATCCAAGACCAGGACTAGCTTGAGTCAAGACCGAGTCTTAAGGCCAAGTCAAGATCGCGTCCATATGAGAGCAACAGTCTACCAAGTGAAGGTTCAGACCAAAAACCATCAAATCTTTCTGGAGGCCAAGTCTTTACTTCAACTAATTGTCTTCAGTCGTGCATTGCACCAATGATTAGGCTATGTTTTCTAGAAAAAAAGGAATTACTTCTTGTCAGACTTTGTGCATGCGAAAAGAAAAGACAACACAAACATTATTTTTGCATACTCTCAGTCAAGGTCAACACCATTTTTAGTGAGCCCAATGGCCAAGACTGAAACAAGTCCAAGTACAAAGGCCCATAAATCACAGAAATCCCAAGTCAATACAGAAAATGCCTCTGGCCTGGGCAGTAGTAGCTCAGTGGTTAAGATGGTGGACTTCAACTCAGAAGGTGTGAGTTCAAATCCCAGCTCTGCCAAGCTAGGTCCTTGAGCAAGGCCCTTAACCCTCAACTGCTCCTTTGTATAAATGAGATGAATGTAAGTTGCTCTTGATAAGGGTGTCTGCCAAATGGACTTGAGTCCTACAGCCCTAACTAGTAGTAGTAGGTCAAAGTACTCTGTTTGAAGATGCTTCCTTCAGTTCCCAACAAATCTCCTTAATCTGGCTTTACACTGTGTGCTTTGTCTTTCACAGACAAAAATCACCCATCATAAAAGAATTCTTTGGTCAGGAGTTGAGAGTGGCCATCTTAGAACACATAATGCACATCTTAGAAGTGCACATCAGCGGCCAATTTAGTGCACTTGCGACCAAAGATAACCAACAAGTTTCAGTGCTGGACATTTTGATTAAAATCATAGACTAATACAATGCTCATCTAAAATCCATAAATAGGAGGACAGCATAGACTGACGCTAAAACTCATAAGACATCTACAAACACAGCTACAGCTTTAAATTTAAACTTTACATTTTTCTGTTTATGTGACCCCATTTTCTGCGCAAGTTCAGATAGTACTGATTGATTGCTTTTCTTTAATGGCAGGTCTATCATTAGAGGACCTTCATCGCATCGGACATGGAGAACACAACGCCGCACAGTCTGTTATAGAGTTCGGCCAAGATTTTATTGGCATCACCTTGCAAAGTGTGATCTGCATACTCATTTTCTGCATTCTCAGAAAAAAGGGTGGTGTATAGGTGTACAGCTCCCCAAAATACAAACAGCGGATCTAATTATGTACTTTAAATGAGTTTTAAAAGTACACCATATCATCTTAATCCTATAAGTAAAGATACAAAAGTCCTCTTGAAGATACCACCCCAGTAACCGTGTCTGTACCCTGAAAGGATATGTTCAGAAGCACAAGTATAATTATATTAGGGAAGTGGTAGCTCAGCAAATAACCCTAATGTGTATTGACTAGAAGGTTGTGAGTTCCAGTCTCAGCACTGCCAGATATGGTTTAGCTCTTGAGTAAGACACCTATCTCTCAACTGTTCAGCTAAATAAAAGGATTGGATTTCACCCCCGTTGTGAGTTGCTTTGGACAAAAGCATTTGTCAAATATGTAAATTAGACGAATTACATGAAAGATCTGTATCCAGTTACTGACATTTTCTTTTGTCTCCATGAAAGAAGTGGGTGGCTAATTGATGTGATGGTTTAACCATCACCACTCTTCTTAGTAAAACACATATACAAACAATGTGAGCCTACACCCAACAAGCATGGGAGGACTTGTTTATCTTTATAAAATCCATATACCTATACACTCCCACATACAGTATATACACTCACAAACCATTTATTAACACCTGTACACCTGCTCATTCATGCAGTTATCCAATCAGCCAATCACGTGGCAGCAGTGCAACGCATTAAATCATGCAGATACAGGTCAAGAGCTACAGTTAATGTTCTCATCAAACATCAGAATGGGGAAGAAATGTGATCTCAGTGAGTTTTTGTTGGTGCCAGACGGGATGATTTGAGTGTTTCAGAAATTCCAGGGATTTTCACACAGATTGGTTTGAGCTACCTGGTTTGAGCCTCTAGAGTTTACCGATACTGGGTGGTTGAAGATTGGAAAAAGACCAGGCAACATATTTCAATGTTCAACTATCTATTTTCATTGAGTTTGTGTCCACTATAGCCCCAGATTTCTGTTCTTGGCTGACAGGAGTGGAACTCGATGTGGTCTTCTGCCTCAAGCTTTGGTGTGTTGTGCCTTCTGAGATGCTTTTCTGCTCACCACGGTTGTAAAGAGCAGTTATTTGCATTACTATAGACTTCCTATTAGCTCAAATCAGTCTGGCCATTCCTGTCTGACCTCTCTGATCAAAAAAGTGTTTCCATTTGCAGAACTGCTGCTCACTGGATGTTTTTTTGCACCATTCTTCACAAATCTATAGATTTCGTTGTGAAAATATCAGCAGTTTCTGAAATACACCAGCCCATCACCAGCAACCATGCCATAGTCAAAGTCACTGAAATCACAGTTTTCCCCATTCTGTTGTTTGAGGTGAACATCAGCTGAAGCTCTTGACCTGTATGTGAGTGATTTTATGCATTGTGCTGCTACTACATGACTGGTTGATTGAATAATTATAATATTAAAATAAATCTAAGTGGCCATGAACGTCCAGGTGTTAAGGTGCTCCTAATATAAGTGGCCAGTGAGTGATATTAACAAACAAAAGAAGGGCTTTTCATCTGTTTGACTATTTCCTACTATTTTAGAATAATAACATTGAAGACATGAACATTATGAAAGAACTCATATGGAATTATGCAGTAACCACGCACAGTATTAAAAAAATCAAGCTATTTTATATTTTTATAAATTTTTTATAAGCTTTTCTAATGAAGTTTGCATAATCTTGGCATTTTCACAGCCAACTTCATTAGGGAGCTTCACCCAGGAGGTTTCTCTTAAAGTTGCCAAATAGGTCGGTCGCTTCTCCTAACTTCTAATTGAGAATTGTGTTTGGCAAAACAATTTCATTTTAAGTAAAAACTGACTCAGATAAAATAAATTTATATATGGACATTAACTTTAATTAATATGGAAATGTTAAAATGTGAATTCTGCCAAAATGAATTCTATTCCAGTTTAACTGAGCTCTCTACTAAGTATATATTTCAATATTACTACCTAATGTTAAGTCCTTACAAAAATGATTTAGCATCCTAAAACTGATGCATGGGTTTTGGCATTTAAAATGGTCTTTTAGCAAATCCACAAATTATGGCTTCAGTCAGCATTCACTGTTCTGTTTGTTGCCCTTTAGAGTACAAAGGTTAAGCTGATGAAAAGCTTAAGGAATTGCAATGTGCTCAAATGACCAATTGAAAAAGCTCGAAGAAATTGTCTGCATCCTGCATCTGTTCTGTCATGGTGACTTTGAGGATTTATTTCAGAGGATAAACCAATCACAAAGATGAATTATTGACCAACACTGGGGATATAACGTTTGAGATGACTCAAAACCCATCGGTGAAATGTGACCGTTACATGGACCAGACCGCCTGCATACAACATCCTGCCTGCAGTATGAATTTTGAGACATACAACTCTGTACTAAGGGTGGAATGCTATGAGAAATTCACTGTATGATAATCATACAACACAGAGTTGCTGATATTGTATCTGCTTACAACTTTACATTTACAAAGATGCCAATGTCCATGTTCTATGGGCGAATCAAGATTTTTCATGCCCACAGTAACAAGACTGGTTTAAAGCATACGTTCTCCTGTAAACAGTGTCTTTACTTAGAAATCAGAGATACACAGTATCACAGTATAAAACCTTCCCAGCTGACCGAAAACAAACTCAAACCACTATGGCAAAATGTCGGCTATACTAAATACAAAGAACGTCTAAATTATCATATGAATAAGAGGCGCACTTCTTCTTTTTTTTTTTTTTTTTAAAGAAAGCTTGCCAGAAAGATTCACATTGCAACTAGTTAAGACTAGAGATGTGCATTATGGGACTAGCGATGCAACAAAAGGTCACATGAGGTTTTTACCTTCATGTGGACAATATGAAGCTTGCAGGACAAAGAAAGTCCACATTCAGTAACCTGATTGTTCATCACTGAGAGATGCATTTACAGCATTCTTTCAGTCATCCTTAGTAACTGCCTGGTCAGGGAAGCGGTGTTATAAATGAGGCTACTGGTTTGTTTATATTTTGGGAAATAAAACCAACTAAATTTGTTAGAAAATAAATATTGCAGGCATCGCAGAAACAAACATAATAACTGCAAAAGTGGCATTTAAAGAACTTATAGACTTTTCAGTGTTTACAGGGACAATATAATAGGGCTCTTATTTAATTAAAAAAATGTTCTAGGATAGGCTACGCCACTTTGGGTTTAAATCCGAATAAAGATATGAATATTTGGAGCATTAAACTGATAAAGATAGTGCAGGGGTTTCCAATCTTATCAGGAGAATAGTGCAGGGGTGTCCAATCTTATCAGGAAAGGGCCGGTGTGAAGCCACACCTGAGTCTACTGAAATCCAAGATCAACTGATTAAGCAGGTGGAATCAGGTGTGGCTCCTGTGTGATAGGAATGAAACCCTGCACCCACACTGGCCCTTTGCAGATAAGATTGGACACCTCTGATATAGTGGCATTATGTTACAACTCTAATAAGCACAGTTCCAGAATAATGGGATTGAGGATTTTCCAACACTTTTCTCTGATAATGCAGAGGAGTGTTTAACGGTACAACACACCACAGTTTCAACTATTAGAAAAAGCAAAGCAAACACCATGTAGCTACAAGAAATCTGTGGACTTTCTTTAAAAAGGAAAGTGTATATAAGACAATCAGCATTATCCAGTGAAGGATGTATTATTATTCTAGGACACATTAATTAGGGTAGTAAATCAGTTGGCTTACACAGTGAGGTTTTCGTCAACAGTCCCAAAATCCTTCCATATCATTTTTAGAACTTAAGATGATCTGTCCTAGCCTTCAGTAGTTTACCAATACAATGTAGAATTATAGTTTCCTCCTATTTTCACCTGTTCTGTTCATTCTGTGAAAGTTTCATTATCTCTACTATTACGGCATAACAGTAATGGAACTGTAACAAGGGGACTCAAATGATGTAACTGCTGAGAGTTTATTACAAATGCATCATTTTATACAAATACAAAAGGTTGTAGCAAAAACAGGAAGTGTCAAAGAGACACGAGCAAGCAAACACAATCCGAATGCAAAAAAAAAAAAAATAAAATAATCTAGAGTGAAGCCAGAAGCAGAGCAGCAATCAGATGAAAATCTCTCATCTCTTTAGTCCATGATGATAGCATGTAATGGCTTGCAGGTGAGCTCGTGCCAGTAATCAGCAATCGTGAGGCTGATTGTATGTGTGTTTTTGGAGGAGGGTATGAGAGGTATAATTAATACAGATTTTCTTACCATGATATACCATCAAGCCAGTAAACCATC